AGACTCTTGAAGACCTCTGAGGAGATATCCATATCAGGCTCTTATCAGCATGCACTTCCTGACTTCCACATCAGCCTCTACCTTTGGTGATTGCACATGGGATAGATACTCAGGTGGAGTGGTCTTGAGACGGCCCCTCCTTCAGTTTCTGTCCCTCACTTTGTCTCCATATTTGCTCCCTTGAGTATTTTGTTGCTCCTTCTAAGAAGGACCGAATTTCTAAGAGACACTTTTAACTCTGTTTTTCAAAGAACCATCCAAGAAAGGTCTCATTTCAGTTCTGAAGACAGGACTGACTTACAGTCACTGTTGGAGTAGGGAGAACAAGAAAAGATGCCCAGAAGATTAGATAGCATTAGGTAGCATGAAATGCCAGTAGTAAGATAAGCAGTCGTTCCAAACGGTAAGCGAAAACACTTCACTGCAACGAATAAATCCAACCATGAGTATAGAACCTCAACAGCAGATTGAAAGTCACATCAGACTGTTACATGACTCTTTATAGCTCATAAGTTTGTAACACTTTACATAATTCACTAGCTACTCACTGGCTCAGTCCTACAATGAAAGTGGGGAAGCCCAGAGCAGAGTCAGTCAGAGTCCTAGTGAGTATGAGGGTCTCCAGAAGACAAAACACATCATGCAACCTCCATGAGGAACCAGTTGCAGCTTAACATCAGTTTGGACTAAATGCAGAAATCATCGCAGTAGCCAACATATTAGCTTAGAAGTTCAGAAAGACTGCTTGCTAGGTCTATGCTATGGAGCTAGGTGCAGTGAAAGAGAAAGGTGGTTGCTTGGTTGATTTTTGGTCCCACTGCCAGGATTCTCATAGTTGAAACCAATTCCAGTTCTGCAGAGTCCCAGGTCTTAAGCTTTCCTTTCTTTCCCGAGGACTATCCACTTTTGGAACTCCCAGCTGTGTCGTCAAAGATGACTTGGCTATAACCATGCACTTGGCTGTTCAGAAAATATTACCTTTCTAGAGATGGAGGAGCGCTTGAAAGTTACTTATTCTGTGGTTGGTGTGTGACCCGGGGATCAAAAGCTGGCACAGTATGTAGAAGAGCTGGGTTTGATTTTCAGTACAGTGAAGGGAGGGGCAGGGGGAAATCCTTAACTTCTTCATAGTGCAAAGGAGCTCTTGCATTAACCCCTATAACTTGCTCAGCTTCCACATGAACACTTCCAATGGTGAAAAAATTTACCCCATCCACTTTATTCTTCAGAGTCCTGATGGAATGCTTTGTCCACCAGAATTATAAATAAATTAATTTTTTTTTTCAGCTGGATGAAATCTATGTACCCAAGGCTGGTCTCAAATTCTCAAATCTTTATATTTCAACATGCCTGAGCCACCGTGCTCGGCTAACTTTAAACTACTGATCTTAGATGAAGTAGTAGTTTCCTCTGACATTACTTAAAGCCTGGACGACCTGGTAGCCATTGGGAGGCTGATGCAGGAGTGCCAGGAGTCCCAAGCTAAGCAGAGGTTGCGTCGCAAAACCCCGTTCCAAAGAACCAAAACAAGAAATACAGGCAGCTATTCAGCAGTCACTTCTCCAGATTAAGTGTGTCCAGTTGCCTTTGTTTGCTCTCCTGTAGGTGACTTCCTAGCCTTCCCAGCTCACAGCCGATTTACAAACTCGACGACAGCGGCAACTGGGAATTCCGGGTACGAATCCGCGCGCCAATTTGAGCCGTGCGTGAGCGAACGTACGCTCGGAGCGCTGGCCAATAGGCAGGCGCTTCCCTTTCCCGAGTTTGCCGCGGACCAATCACAGTCTTCTCTTGGAAGGGGGTGGAGTCGTTACAACGGTCTCCCGGATTCTGCTGGAGTAGAGCGGACGCGCGCTGTGGTAATCCGGGCTGCTGAGGAGTGCTGCGGGTGCTACCCGAGCGAGCGTACCCGAGGTCACAGTGAGTCTGGGGAAGCCGCCCCGGGAGGAACACTGTGGGGAGAGAGAAGCGCCCTGGGCGCGCCAAGGCTGCGCCTCGGTGCTACCTCCAGCATCTGCTACCTACCCAGGTTCTGCGCATTCTTTACCTCAGGCCTGGGGCACAAAACAAAACGCCAGCGCTCTGGAATCTGAGGTCAGCAGTACAGGCTGCAGATTTATGAAGAAGCCCTGAGGGTGGACAGACTAGGTGGGGTATGCTGCTGCAGAGATGGAAGGAATTGTCCTTTGATGTGGCCTCACACATAGGTGAGAAAGAATTGTATGAATAGTCAGCGCAGTTGTAAGCATACGTTTGTGGGGAGTGATTACTGGAAAAGAGGCTAAAAACGCCGGTTTAAAAAAAATTAAAAGGAAAACATCCATTGGAGCCATAGTGTAAGGAACTTTGTTGTGGTTGTTTGGTTGAGGGTTTCGTTTTGTTGTTTGTGAGACAGGTGTCGCTGTAGCCCAGGCTGACTTAGAACTGACTTTTGCCTAGGCGTCTCCAGTGTCTATGCCACCAAGTCCCGACTCTGTGAAGAACCTTTATATTCAGAAAATACACGATAGCACATGGCTTTTATGCCAAAGGACTTTTTACATTTTTATTTACTTTTATTTCTTGTATATGAGTGTTTGTCTGCATGTATGTTTACACACCAGGTGTATGCCTGGTGCCCACGGAGGCAGAGGAAGGTGTCAGTTATGAGCTATCAGGTGGGTGTTGGGAATTGAATCTGAGTCCTCTGGAAGAACTGCCAGTGCTCTTAACAGCTAAACCATCTCTCTCACCCCGGAGGACTTTGTATATACCAGTTCTTATCATAGTCTGGGGGCTTCTTTGAGAGAAACAGCCTTATTTTTTCTCATTCTAATATGATTAGCATGCCTTTTCACTGTGTTCTTATTTTATATAAAGATACAGTTTTAATTGTAGATAGTTTTATTGTAATTGATATTGTAGTTGATCTCTAAGACAACCTTGAGGAGACTGTTCCCTCCTACTATGGATTCCTGGGACTGAATCAAGTCGTCAGGCCTGTATTTGCAAGAGTTTTGTTTTGTTTTACTGAAAATAGTCCTTCGGATTACTGTATAAAATAGCAATGTTTTGGCTGAACAAGTCGTCGGGAGCCAGCCAGTAAGCAGCACTCCTCCATGGCCCCCTGCATCAGCTCCTTCCTCCAGTTTCCTGTCCTGTTTGAGTTCCTGTCCTGGCTTCCTTCAGCAGTGTACTGTGATGTGGAAGTGGAAGCCAAATATTGCCCCCCTCCTCTGCAGTACTTCCCCCACCCCACCACCAATAACAAGGCTTCATTAGGCTTAAAACGATAGAGGCTGAGTACATATCTTAAATCCCAGCAGAGGAAAGTCAATCTTTGAGTGAGGTTCAGCCTCAGCTCGGGCTACAAAGAGAAACCCTGTCTTTGAGGAGGGTGGGGGAAGGAAGAGTTAAGATACAAAACACTGTAAATTAAGTTATTAAAATAAGCTGGGCAGTGATGGTGCCTTTAATCCCAGCACCTGGGAGGCAGAGGCAGGCGGATTTCTAAATTCGAGGCCAGCCTAGTCTACAAAGTAAGTTCCAGGACAGCCAGGGCTACACAGAGAAACCCTGTCTTGAAAAAAACAAAAAAAAAAAGTTATTCTGAGATTTTTCTCTTGTATGGAAGGGGAATCAAAGGACCAGTTAATTTTATTTTTATGTTGTATGTATACATGTTTTGCATACATGCATTTATGTGCACCACATGCATGACTGTTGGGTCCCCCGAAACTGAGGTCATGGACAATTCTGAGACACCATGTGTTTGGGATCAAACCTAGGTCCTCTGCAAAAGAAACAAGTGCTCTTAATCACTGACCTTGTTCCAGCAGCCTCTTTTGTTTTATTTTGTTTTGTTTGAGACAGGATCCTATATGTACCCCTGGCTGTTCTGGAACTTGTCTTGTAGACCAGGCTGGTATAGCGTTTTCAGTAATCCTCCTGCCTCAGCCTCCCAAATGATACTACTGCAGAGCTGTGTCTACCACTGTCTGAACTTTTTTTTTTCCGGGTAGCTGAGGAAATATTTTTGTTTTGCATTAAATAATTAGGTTTTTATATATGTCAACAATACATTTTTATTTTGCGGGTATGTGTGTGTGACAGCACATGTGGGAAGATCAGAGGACAACTTAACAAGAGTTATTTCTTTCCTACCATTAAGTTACATCTCCAGCCCCTGAACTGAAAACAATTTACATTAAAAATGAAAAACAAGTAAACTGAGGTAACTGGAACAGTGGGGTTTGGTTCAGAATATTCTGGATGACGAATGGAACAAATCTAGAAGACTCAAAACAGATCCATACATGTTTGAAAAATTAATTTGTGGTAATATTAGAAGGGTGAAGTTTCCTTGTTTTTTTCTTCTTTTTTTTAAATAGTATTAGGACAATTGGTTATTCATTTGGGGGAAAAATTAAAATCGGACCTTCTGCCTCTTACTATGCACAAAAACAAGTACTGATAGCTGAAAGATTTAAGTAAAAAAGGCAAAATTATATTTTTTAGTTATTTTTATTTTATGTGTTTGGCCTGCATGTATGTCTGTGTATCACATGCATGTCTAGCACCTGAGGTGTTATAAGTGGTTGTGAGCTGCCACATGAGTGCTGGGAATCAAACCCAGGTCCTCTGGCAGAGCAACAAGTGATTACAACCACTAGACCATCTCTCTAGCCCAAAAGTTACATTTTTTTAAATGTAAAGAATACGTAGGAAAATATCCTTAAATGTAAGAGTATGGGAAAGATTTTAAATGGATGAACATTAAGAATATATTCATTAGCTGGACTTGGTGATCCAGACTTCTAATCCCAGCTACTTTGTAGGCTGAGGTAGGAAAATCACAAGTTTATGGGCTTACTAGAGTGAGTTCAAGGTCAGCCTGGGCAAAAGCTGAGGTAAAACTTATGAACAAAGCTCTCTGTCCAGCACTGCAAGGAAAAAGAAAAGAAGATGTATTCATCTAAATTGTAGCAAAATAAGCTATAATGTGTGATGTTATATTTGTAATGTACATAACAATAATAGTGTTCTTTAGAGGTTGCTGATTGAGTGGATGTGTTTGTGGGTGTTACTTTAGGTGAGAGAGACTTCATTGAAAGATTAGAAGGTTAGAGCGAGATGGGCTGATTGACAGGGTCAGTTCCCTGAAGAATAAGGAGAAAGTAGAATCCATAATACATGGAGAGAATGTCAGACACTTAAACCCTAGCTTACAAGAATCTCCAAATGATGGCTGCTTTCTTCTTGCTCTCACAAAGCACATAGACTGCACACAGTCTGCCCAGTCCCTCACTGCCCAGGCACACTTAGGATATATTTGTGAGCAGAATTGGACCCAGGCTCTATTCTTATAACTTGATAATTTATTAATGGAAGCAGACATTCATTTTAAACTCTTACAGTTATTATCATGTAGACCAGAAGAGTAGACCAGAAGCTCATGCAGAAGTGGAAAAGTCAGGTTCCCTTTGTCACAGAGAGTAATAAGAATCTGTTCTTCATTAAACTGAAGCTGTGAGAAAATGCTAGGCAGTGTAGCTATTTCATGGTTGCTTCTTTTCTTTTCCAGTACAGCCCCGCGAGCCCTGAGTGTGGAGCAGTGACTGTTTATGGTTCCTTTCACGTGAGATCATGCAGAGAGCCTCACGTCTGAAGAAAGAACTGCACATGCTAGCCATTGAACCTCCCCCAGGCATCACGTGCTGGCAGGAAAAGGACCAAGTGGATGATTTGCGAGCTCGTAGGTATCCATCCCATCATGCCTGAGGTGATGGTTGTGTCCCTATTGAAGACTGTCCTAAGTTTCACACGTTGATAGATATTAAAGTAGCGAATAGTAAGGTGAAAGAGCCCTGCCATCTTTCTTCTTTAGTTGGTTTGCTTGGAGTTTCCTATTTCTTTGACTTCTTATATCTTGTACTGGTTTGTAATTAAGGTTGTCAGCTGGCTGTTGGTGGCACATGTCTACAATCCCAGGATTCTGGAGGCTGAGGCAAGAGAAAGAGGATTGCTTCAAACTTGAAGCCAGCTAGGCTACACAATAAGATTTTGTCTCAATAAAGATTTTGTTGGGAGGTGGGGGGGAGTAGAGATAGTAAGATGTCTCTGTGAGTAGGGACACTTGCCACCAAGCCTAACAACTCAAGTTTAATCTCAGGATCCATATGGTGGAAGGAGAAAACCAGCTCCTATAAGTTGTCCTCTGATCTCCACATACATGCCATAACATAGCATGCATGTGCACGCGCGCGTGCGCACACACACATTATAGTTTTTTAAAAAACAGGTTTAGGTATTAGCTGTGCAGCAGTGTTTGAGGCCAGGTGGGCAGGCAGGAAACACTGCATGGAGACACAGTTAAAACCTTAACTGAATTACTGTCTTCACCCAGTTCCTTTTTTTTTTTTTTTTTTTCATTTCTTTTTTTGTTTGTTTAGATTTGATTCATGTGTGTGTATGATTACATGCACACATGTACAGGTGCCTGAAAGAGCCAGAGGAGGGCATCAGATCCTCTTGAGTTAGAGATACAGGCAATAGTTGTAAGCTACCTGATGTGGGTGCCAAGGTTGGAACTCTGGTCCCTTGGGAGAACATAAAGCACTCTTAACTGCTAAGCATCTCTCTAGCCCTTGTGCCTAGAACTATAACCTTATTGGGTTCGTTTGATACAGTTTTTGTTGTTGTTTGCCTTTGGAAAAAGGGCCTCATGTAGCCTAGGTTGGCTTCAAACTTTTGATATAACCTGGGATGACCTTGACTTTCTAATTCTCCTGTCTCCGCCTTTGGAGTACTAGGATTTCAACCTGTGCCACCATGTGTGGTTCATATACTGTTTCCTGCTGAACTTGGGGTTTATATATGCTAGGTAAGCGCTCTACCAAGTTACATCCTCAACCCTTTGTATAGTAACTCAAATCATCTGGTTCTCTTTTAACTTTTCCTTCCTTCCTTTTCTCAAGAAATACTAGGTGGAGCCAATACGCCTTATGAGAAAGGTGTTTTCACGCTGGAAGTTATCATTCCTGAGAGGTGAGTATGAATTAGAGTCAGCTTATAAGGTAAGACACAGCCATTGAAATACAGACCATAATACTATTTAGAGCATTAAATGTAGCAGTTAAGAACCAATGTTTAATCCTAGTCTTACCATGCTAGGGATGTGATAAGTTGTTTTTGTCTCTTTGGAGTTCAGTTTCATTCTCTAAAATAATGGACCACATTGTAACTGAGCCCCCACCCCTCCCCAAAAATGTGGTGTGGGGTGTGTGTGTGTGTGTGTGTATGTGTGTGTATTATAATATAAAATTGACCCTTATGGCCATTGTATGTGTAAATTTCACATCATTGTGCTTTCTGTTCATTTGGTTGATTTGGTTTTTGTTTTGGATTTTAGAGGTAGGATTTCTCTGTGTAGCCCTGGCTGTCCTGGAACTTGTTCTGTAGACCAGGCTGGCCTCTAACCTAGAGATCTGCCTGCCTCTGCCTCCCAAGTGCTGGGATTAAAAGCAGTACCACCACCAACCAGCATGTTGTACAACTTTTAATATTATCTCCAGAACTTTTTCATCTTCCCAAACTGTAACTTCATACACATTATAAATCTAACCCCTCCCAGTCTTCCATGACACCAGCCCTTGGCAGCCACCGTTGTTCTCTTCACCTCAGTGTAAGGCCCCTTCAGTCGAGTGTCTCGTAAGGTTCCAGTCAGGTGAGGTGTAGCTGTAGTTAGTAGAGTGAGGGGGGATGAGATGAGTTTTAACTAGTAAACTGGGCATTTCTGTACCACCGTGGGGCCTGGACAAACTTGTTAAGCCTGAATGAGTGAGTAGCTTAATAATTATGACACATCAATTCTGAAAATAGACTGGATCTTTGCAAGGTTTGTTTGTCACTGAAAATATATAACTAAAACCAATGTGTAAGTCTAGTTGGAGCCTGTTTGAAAAATATTTGGAGATGGGTTGTAAAGATGGCTTATTACAGAGGATATTACAGAGGATCTGATTACAGAGGATCTGGATTCAGTTCCCAGAACCCACATTGCAGCTCGCAACTGCCTATAACCCCATTTCCAGGGGCTCGTACACCTTCTGAGCACCAGACATGTTAATGATATATAGCCATACATGTGCAGATAACCACACATAAAAGTAAAAAAATACATCTTTTTTTTTTTAATATGGAGACAAGTTTGAATAGTCAATGATAACTGGGGGGTTCTTTTTAAAAAACTTCACAGATATGATGGTATCACAGTAGGACAGTGTTCTTACTCTTAGGTGATACTTGGTAGTGTTTAGAAAGTGGTGAGGGATCTGATTATTTTTAGTACCATTATTTCAACTTTTTGATTGCTAGTAATTTTGATTATTGGCAAATTTGGGGAAAATCTGCCTTCCAAATGCTGTCTTTCTAACATTTTTCTAATCCATCGTTATTTTAGATAGCTACTAGTGACCAAGGAATGATTTAAAGTGTAGAATGAGCCCTCACCCCTAGCTGAGGTGCTAATAAAATTGATGACAGTTGATAGCTCTGGGGGATGGAGAGTCTGTTTTCTTTAAGGCCTCCCTTAGGTTAACTGTGCTCTGGTGGATGGCTCCACACCCAGGAGCATATGGCACATAAATTGTAAGGCTCAGTATGGTGATGCATACCTTTAATCAGGGAGCGGCACGAAAATCATTTCCTCCTCTTACACATTCGCAGGTACCCATTTGAACCTCCACAGATTCGATTTCTGACTCCAATCTATCATCCAAACATTGATTCTAGTGGAAGAATTTGTCTAGATATTCTCAAATTGCCACCAAAGGTGGGTAAAGGTTAGAGTTGACTCCGACATCTGTTTTCTTGGCATTGGAAAGAGGGAAGCCAACTGGGCATGGCAACTCATGACTTTAGTCCCAGCACTCTGGGAGGTGGAGCTCTGTGAGTTCCAGTACAGCCAGGGCTACACAGAGGAACTTTGCCTCAGAAAAGGGAGGGAGGGAGGAAGGAAAGGAAGGGGGGAAGGGAGGAAGGGAGGAAGGGAGGAAGGAAGGAAGGAAACTAAGTGAAACATTTTAAAAAAAAAAAAGAAAAGAAAGGGGGAAGCAGGAGGATTAGGAATTAAAGGTCATCCTCATTCTTTTTGATTTTTTGAGACAGTATCACGTAGCCAAGGATGGCCTTAAACTCCTGGTCTTCTTGCCTCTACCTTATAAGTCCTGAGATTACAGGCATGGGTCACTGTGCCTGGCTCAACAATGTTACATTATCACAGAAAATGTCATACAGTTGTTTGTTTGTATATAGGGTGCATGGAGACCATCCCTCAACATTGCCACTGTATTGACCTCCATTCAGCTGCTCATGGCAGAGCCCAATCCAGATGACCCACTAATGGCGGACATTGTACGTATCCCCATTTGTCAGTAGCAGTAGCCTACTTTATCTGTACCTTTACTATTTCAGCTGGTGCTCATGATAGCAAATCAGTTTCTCTGTTTTAACTCTGATTTCATTTCAGTCTTCAGAATTTAAATATAACAAGATAGCTTTTCTCAAGAAAGCCAGGCAGTGGACAGAGACTCATGCAAGACAGAAACCAAAGGTAGGATATTTGCTAGTATTATTATATCTATAGGGCTAGGAGAGGCTAATGAGCTCCCATCCTTTACTGAGGCACTAATAAAACTGATGACAGTTGATAGCTCTAGGGGATGGAAAGTCATTTTTCTTGAAGGCTCCCTTAGGTTAACCATGCTCTGTTGACTTCAAACCCATGGATATTATACGGGCAGTACAAATTGGACTTGGTGGGTTATATTTAAAAAAGAAAATTAAGGACCAGTGTGTCTTTAATCACCTCACTAAGGAGGTAGAGGCAGGTAGATCTTTTGAGTTGGAGGCCAGCCTGGTCTACTTAATAGTTCCAGGCCAGTCAAAAAAAAATTTTATTAAAAATAAAAAGAGGGCTTAATATTGGAGAAAGATAGGGCTGGGTCTGGGAGGAGGTAGGGTTGGGAGTGAATGTCATCAAAAAACATTGTATGAAATTCTCAAAGAATTAATAAAATATAATATATACATACATATATACATATTATAATGTATGTCCCGGGGCTGAAGAGACAGCTTAATGGTTAGAAGGGCATGTTCCTCTTTTCCTGACTCTAATTCAGCACCCAGTGTTCCTGTCAGGAGGCTCACAGCTGCCTCTAACTCCAGCTCTTAGGGACCTGACACCCGCTTCTGGACTCCAGAGGTGCCTGCATTCCTGTGTACACAAAGACACACAGACACATAATTAAAAACAAACATCATCTTTTTAAAAAAAAAAATACAGATCTGTATCTCAGATTAAGCACATAGATAAAAATAGAGTATATGTCTAAATAATATTTATTAACTTTTCTAAATCCATACTGTGCTCTAGAATGGCTAATTGGATTCTTTCTCCTATTGTAACCATCTAAAAATTACTCTGCAAAATGCTTAGCTGCTCATCTAACAGTGGTCATCCCCTGGCAACACTAGAGGGCAGGCAGCATCTGCGTGATAGGTTTCTTTTCTTGTGAATAGCAGGGATAGACAGAAGGTGACTCATTCAAGTTTTTCTAATTTGTCCTTTTTAACATTGAGCCAGAGACTAGTTAAAAAATAATGAGAAGGTAGAAAGTTTTATTTCTTATGGGACCACATTCATGGAAAAGGGAGTGTTTAAGTTGATAGAGTGTTTTATTTTATTTTTGAGACAAGGATGTTTGTTTGTTTGTTTGTTTGTTTGTTTGTTTTGTAGCCCTAGCTTGCTTGAACTTACTATGTAGGCCAGGCTGGCCTAAAACTCAGTAGTCCTCTTACCATAGCCTCTTGATTATTGTTGTTGGTTTGTTTGTTTGTTTGTTTGTTTCTGTTTTTTAAGACAGGGTTTGGCTGTGACTGCCATGGAACTCAATCTGTAGACCAGAATGGCCTTGAACTCAGAGATCTGCCTGCTTCTGCCTCCTGAGTGCTAGGATTAAAGGCGTGTGCCACCACCGCCCAGCACCTCTTGATGAAGACACACACACACACATCATCATCATCATCATCATCATCATCATCATGCCTAGGTTTTTTTTTGAGTTGATAAAGTTTGAAATGAAAAAATTAAAGTATGCAAAAAAATTTGACAAAGATGCTTTTGAAGGAAAACCTTTGCCCACTAAAATCTTAACAAAGAATATGTAGACGTAGCATCACAGAGCTATTTTTTTCCATTGCGAATGTTATGTTTGCTCCCTCTCTCCTTTGCAGGCTGATGAAGAGGAGCTAGGCACCTCATCAGAGGTTGGTGACTCTGAGAAAAGCCACTCCACACAGAAAAGGAAGGCCAGGCCACTAGGAGGAATGGAAAAGAAGTTTTCCCCTGACGTTCAGAGAGTCTGTCCTGGTCCCTCTTAGTTACTAGCAGTCTGTGTCAAGGTGGTCTCTTTTGCTTGCTTCTTTTAAATGTTTTTCTTTGTGTTTGATGACAAATGTTTGTATCCTTACAAAAGACCTTGTATGTTTACGAATTCTGCCATGCAGCGATTCTTTAAGGATACTTTGTTTTGTTTATCTTGTACATATGTATTTAGAAAACTTTTAAACTTGAAAAATAAATAATACTTAATGTTAAGTGTGTGTTTATATGAAATGTGTGTCTGGGAGTGAACTGGTTATAGTGCTGTATGATCAGAATGTTAAAATATTTTGTCAACTTACCATCACTAGAGACACAGAATGTTTGAATACATGAAAAATAGTTGTTAAGAATCATTGCCCTAGGCTTTAGTGAGTGTGGTTTTTCAGAAGCCTTAAACTGTGGACTGAAGCAGTGTGCCTTTTGCCAGTGCTTAGTTGTTCTCAGCTTTTGCTCTAGGATTTATGTAGTTGAGAGTTACTACAGTGTAACGTTAATTTGTTCAACAATCTCTTCTGTTGTATGTTGAGATAGACTTGCTGTGTAGCCAATGCTAACCTCAAATGCACAGAGGAGTTCCTCTGCCTCCTAAGTAGTGGGATTACAGGCATATATCACCATGCCTGGTCCATGACAAATATTATTCTGCACAATTAGTTGCCAGACTTGAATCCCCCTCTGATTTCATAATATACTTGTCTTATGGTGGATTTGGGGTGTTACCTGGTCAGCACTTTATCCTCCCAGTCCTGTTATCCTGTTAATGGCAGAGGTAACAAACTGGAATATAAATCAGCTGATGTAGGAAGAGGGTACCTGTACTGTGTGAATACAAAGGGGATATAAAGGCTGGACCTGCCTAGACAGAGACTATAATGTCTCTCTCTGTATCCCAATATAGCAGTGATGGCTTTATACATAAAGTAATGCCACAGTAGGTAAAATGCATCTCTGATAAGTGTGTGTTCTCCATCTGCTGTCACTCAGTCATAAGCTGCTGTATGTGTCCTGACTTATACAGAAAGTCAATGTGAATTTATCTGTTCATCAATGACAGGTAACATTTGCTGAAAATTCAAATTTCTGATTTCTACAGATTGGGATTGAACTCAGGGCCATTCATATGGTAGGCAGATGTTGTATTTCTGAGTTATTAGATTGCCTACCCTTACAGATTTCTTTCTTTAAAAATATTTAATGTTATGTGCATATGTGTTTGTGTGGGTGTATGTATGTGCACCTTATGCATGCAGGAACCCAAGGGCTGACAGGTCTGCTGGAACTGGAGTTACAGATAGTTGTAAATTGCCCTGTGGGTAATGGGAAGCAAAACCAGGTCTTCTGCAGGAGCTATAAATGCTCAAGGCTGAGCCGTCTTTCCAGCCTCGCTTACAGAGATCCTGAACCCGCTTCTTAGAGTCAGTTACTATTCTCTAAAGTCTAGAAATTAATTTTATCCCAGATTTGTATCTTGCCCTCATTAGGCAGACTTGGAGTTCCTAAACCATTAATATGTCAGTTAGGGTGATTCTAGCTGTTAGTGAAATCAGACTGCCAAAGATAGAATCCATTGTCCTTCTAAATGGAGAGGAGTAGGGTAAATGGATTGGTGGCTCCAGAGGTTCAGCAGTTTCGGGAGATCTTGGCCACCCCATCTGCTTTACATAATACCAGCTCTCCGTGGTTGTTTATCCTTAAAGTTCTTGAAGGTGAATGACAATCCTGCTTTCTTATTCACATCCAGCAGTCCCTGGAGCTCTGATTTCCGTTGAACAAAAATCTCATTGGTCTACCTTAAGAGTAATCACTGTGCCAGGGAAATGCTCTGAGCTGGTTGGTTCAGGCTAAACTAGAGAAATGAAAGGAAAATTGTGTATCTCAGAACAAAATTTGCTACACTGATTTATCACCTAGTCGACTCCACCAGTTCCCTCTCACTTCTGCCAACATCCTAGTTTAAGCTGCCATCATCTCTCACCTGTACCAAGCCCATAGCCCTCTCAGTTCCTTACCACTTACTCTATGGTGCTCCCAGCTGCAAGGATGATCTCGTGACAGTGTATGTCTGATTTGGCTTCCCTCCTGAAGCCCTCCAAATAGCTTCCATTTGCAGTGAAGATAGCAATAACAACAACAAAATTAGTCTACTTCCCTGGCCCATAAGCCCTTCATGCTTTATCCACATTGCACCCCTTCCCCTGTAGACACCTCACACCTGCCATGATAGTTTCAGCTCAGTACAGCCTCAGAAGTTTGCCAGCCAATAATGCAGCTCTAGAGCCTCAGGTACTCTCCGGTTCATAGCTCATACTCAATTAGTTTTCTTCATAGCCTAACTAAGAGAATGTTTGTATCTGTTGTCTGGCTTCATGTGCTGGGGATAGAGTGACTACAGGGGACTTTTCACAAAACATAACACAGCTGAAAGTGGAATCATCCATCCATCCATCTCTAGTGATTATAGAGCACAGGCTGGGGAAAAGAAGCGACATCTCCAAAGATGAGAAAAGTCCAAATACCTCTGCTCATCAGGGAGGGATGGAAAATGGCTGAAAACATGGGTGAACTCAAGATGGAGATGAACTCAAAGCCATCCTCAGCTACATACCAAATTTGAGGCCAACTTGGGCTACAAGACCTTGTCCCCCACCCCTTTTTATTTAAATTTAATTTAGAAAAAAAAGGAAAAAGAAAAGCCAGTTCCAGTTGTGATGGGTACTGCTTACCAATTTAGTACTCGTAATATTAGACCTTCCTGTTGAGGTTTTGTCTTTTATTGTTATTGTCATGCTAAGTTTAGGCCCCTAAGACCTAGAGTCTGCAAGTAGCCCAGTGACCCGGCCCCCAGTTAATTGTGATTGGTGAATAAAGATGCCAACAGCCAGTAGCTGGGCAGAAGAGACATAGATGAGATTTAGGTTTCCCAGGCTTGGGAGCATGAAGAAGACCATGCAGGAGGAGAAAGGAGAGCCACCATGGGATAGCTGAGCCATAAAAATGTGGCTACATGGGCTGGCCAATTGGAATTAAGAGCAATCCATAATAACAAAATAAATAGTAAGTAATAACCCAGGGTTATTGATAGGAAAGTAGATTCTAACAGCATGGAGGGTAGGCAGCTGCCCAGCTATTGTGCTGCCTAAGGCATATTAAAATATAAAGCCTGTGTGTGTCTTTCATCCGAAAATATAGTCTGAGGCAGAGAAGAATCCACAGGCCAGGATTTTAAGTATTATCAACTACACCTTGGTTTTTACCTGTGTAAAATAGCTATATTGTGGTACTTGGAGACTGTCGTGAGCGTGGGATGAAACGATGCTTGTAAAGCACCCTGCATGGGGCCTAGCACGGTTGACATTTGTACAGTATTTGCAGGGGCATGGAGACAGTGATCCAAGCACAGGTGAGCACTGGGGAGCTGCCATGTCCTCAGCCTTCTTGCCAGTCTGCTTTGTTCCTGGGACAACCAAACTGAGCTGTGTTTTCAACTTCAAACCACTAATTAAAGAGGAGAGATGACATCCATGACTGATCATATAAACACTGCAGATGCCAAGTTCCCCTCCCCTCCTGCCCCCCACTCAGTCCCCCACTTCACCTCTCCCCACGAGCTATCTAAATAAGAACAGATTTTACCACCCACCTTGTGGGCAGGCAGCTGAGGCTAGGACGAGCTATTTATCCTTCGGCTGCTTCGGGAATTCAACACATACAAATAAAGTTCCTTTTCCAGCCAAGTGTGTATTTTTCCATCAGCATGTGGCCCCCCCTGCCCAGGTTGTCTTGTTTAAGTTGGGGTAGCCTAAAGAAAGGAAGGACAGACTGGGAGTGTGGGGGTGTGGTTTTAGAACCTGCTCCCCAGGCTAACTGGCTGCTGGGCGGCTTGCAATCCAGGCCTGAGCAGGGCTGCCATCGAAACCCAGGAGAGGCAGAGCAGTGGACGACACAGCCATGCTATGTGTAGAAACAACACATTCCACTTTGCTGCTTACCAAGTGTCACCCACCTCCTGCCATTTCCCCAGAGAGTGGCCATCCCTCTAACAAAGTTTATATCAGAGATGACAGTCTGTCTAGTGTCTTTTATCCTTCCCAGCCAACTCTAGGGCTTTACCTTTTATGTCCTTATTTTCCTGACACTATATCCCACTAGCCTGTCCCTTCTCTGTCGTTGCCTGCCTTCTTTTCCCAGGATCCTGAGATTCTTTAATTTGGACAAGGATCTCCTCTCTGAGCAACTTCTCTCCGACCTCCCACCAAAAGCACCAAGGGGTTGCATTCTCTCCATCTCCAGGTTTCTACTAAACAACGGAGAGTCATTGTCAGGTACTAACTCTTTACACTAAAAACAAAACAAAACCCAACTTTGTTCTTTCCAATAACCTGCAGCATTTTGGTACTATCGTTTTCACTTTACTGATAATGCAACTGAAAAACATAAGGACAGTGGCTGCTCCCTGCACTTCCTCTTAACATTCAGCAAGCAGTTGTACAGTTCTGGCACTAACTGCAAACTCCAAACAGGAATGCGCAGTGGCTCTGACCACCTTCTCAGCTGTTCTTTCCATTCTCCCTTCCCTTGTCCTTCAGCATCCTCTAGCCTTAAGTTACTCCTCAGGGGTTCCCACCTAGCCCCGTGTCCATGATAGCTGTCCTGGCTTGTTTTATGTCAACCTGACAAAAACTAGTCGTCAGAGATGAGAGAGCCTCAGTTGAGAACATGCTTCCATAAGATCAGGCTGCAGGCAAGGCTGTTGGGCATTTTCTTAATTAGTAATTGATGTGGGAGCGGCTCAGCTCACCACGAAGATGGAGCTACCCCTAGGATCCGTGGTCTTGGGTTCTATAAGAAATCAGGCTGAACAAACCATGAGGAGCAAACCAGTAAGCATTTCTGCCTCCAGGTTCTTTCCCTGTTTGACTTCCTTCAACAATGAGCTACAGTGTGGAAGTGTAAGCCAAACAAAGTTTTCTCTCCATGTTGGTTTCAGTCGTGGAATTTCATAATAGCAATAGTGACCCTGACTAAGACAATAGCCTATCCTGACTGTCACGCCAATCCTCCTTGACCACCAAAACTCCAGTAGATGTCTTCTACTACCCTAAGGTTGCTAAGACAAAGGAGTTCGCGTCTACTAGGCTTGAGTAGGAGCTGACAGGTGGGATTTGTTAAAGGAAACTTCTCAGCATCTTCCCATGCAAGTACCAAAAATCCCC